ACACTTTATGACTGCTGCTGCTTGTATTTATATTTTTTTAATTAAGTGTGATGAGGATTCATTTTTTGCGTTAAAAATATTTCCAATAAGATTTTCTTCTTTCTTTCCTTCCTTTTTGTACTTTGCAAATTATTAACAACACTCCTTTCTTTATTTTTATTTATTTTCTTTTCCTTCGGATTATTTTGGGGAGAAGACACGTAGGAAATATTCCTTTTTATTTTGATTTTTTATACCTCTTTTCTTTCACTTGAATTTGTTGTTATTATTTTTCTTGTATTTTTTCAAAACTTTTTTTGGAGATTTTTTCCTTCCTTTTTTGGGCCATTCAAACCATTCAAAAATATTTATTTATTCTTTTTCATTTATTTATTTTTTGTTTTCAAAAAAATATATTTTGGTGTAGATTTTTTTATTTCTGTTATCCATAGATGCTGAGGCAAAACGTGTTTTTGTTAGCGCAAAAAACAACAAACAAAAAACAAAGACCAATGTTGTTGTTATTTTTTTTTTCTTGGCTCAACTTTTTAGTTACATTTTCTTTGAATCATTCATATTTTTTCAATATTTATCTTAATTTGTATTCCATTTTAATTTAATTAATTTTTATACACCCTATTAAAACGCTGGGTTGGAATTTTTTTCTATCACTCGCGTACGACCGCAATATAAACAATTTATTTATATATTAATTTTCTCTGAAATTCTTCACGTCTAAACATTTCACATCAACACAAAAATCATCGTTGTCGTATTCGCTTCTAATCCATCCAGCGTTAATTTTTTATCCGCGTTCTTAAAGTGTTTAAAATCACGTTCGTTTAGAAACTGGAGAGTATGCGGCTGGCAATTGGAAAAAATTTGCTGGCACCTCACACACACACTCCTATACATGGGTATGTATGAGTGGAGTTGTGGTGGAGTGTCTGCACAAGACAACAACAACAACATCAAAATATTTAACTGGGCTGTACACAAAAGAGCAACCCAACACAACATCATTGTCAACAGCAGCCAGGCAGTCAAACAGCCAGGCCAGGCCATACCAGCCAGCCATCCAACGAACAGCATAAGTTGGCCCAAAGTTGTTTGACAAGATCATTTACAATTACAATGTATCTCACCATAAGTGGCAACTTGTTTTGAGCACAGCACATTGTGACTCTGGCTACGATTGCTCTCTATGTATGTAAATGTGTGTATCCAAGTGTGCGCGTTTTGTGAGGATCAAGTTGGCCCACAACATGAGCATAACCAGAATATTATAATGTGTGGAAAGAGACAATGGTGACACTCTCATATCATGAGCCTCTCTCACTTGTATAGGCTCCAACATTTAAATTTTATGCCTATGCAATTTCTCATTGTATCCCGCTCTCTCCATCTGTCTTTCTCTTTCTCTCAATTTATAACTGGACAAGTGTTTTAACATTTGTTGTGGGAAGAGTTTTTCGTGTTGTGTTGGGAAGACTTAGTGCAGGGTCATGGTTTCAAGAAACATTGGATGTTCGCCGTTTGGAGACATAAATAGTGCCGGTAAAAACATAATTAAATTTTGAATATTATAAAGAATAATAATAGCGATTAACCCGTTTGGAAAATCTGGAAAAAACATTTTCCAGAATGTTCATTTTTTCACCAAGAAAATTCGGATACACCATTTGTTGAGATTATATAACATATATTAAATATTTTTGCTTTCGGCGTCTTCGAAGTCTTTCTCACGTGTACCTCAAGAGAAATTGTTGTAAGATGCCATATGCCATTCAACGGAGTAGAGGAATAATACTCCGAATTTTTGGAGAATTGTCAAAAATAATCAGAAGAGATTAGGGTTCCCGACTAGTAATCCCATATGTCAGAAGAGTCTTTAGCGGAGTAGAGAAAAATTACCAGTTGACGGCTCCATACATTCCACAGAATAATTTGGGCGAAAGGGACAAAATATCCCTGGCTATTACAACTGCGAAGTCAGATCGTAAAGATAATAGTCATTCTTATTTGGGTGACATAGAGGATAATAGATACATAACAAAGCCTATGGTTATCATGGTCCCTCTTTCATCTCAATTGTGGACACTGTCCTTCCGCGGTGTCACATGGGGTAGCTACTTTCATCATCCGTTGAAATAGTGAGCTGACATGTGCCGCGAGTTCACCCATAAGAACTATAAACAAGTGAAAAAGCGTTAAGTTCGGCCGGGCCGAACTTTTGATACCCTCCACCATTGTTATACTGACAGATATATGTAATGAAAATATAGGGAACATACCAAAAGTGACGGACAGACGGACGGACATGGCTAAATCGTCATAGAATTTTACGCTGATCAAGAATATATATACTTTATAGGGTCGGAAATGATTATTTCGATGTGTTACAAACGGAAAAACAAAATTAATATACCCTCCATACTATGGTGAAGGCTATGGGTTTAGGCTGACACTCGGAAAACCCCTCCTACTATGAAAAATCAACGAAAAAGAGAACCAAACCCCCTTAATGTTGACGACCCCCGCAAACGTATAAAATACCAGGATCTGCGAATCTGTACTTGGAATGTGCTCACCTTGTACAGAACATGCACCGTTTTCGCTTTGGCGGATGTACTCAAGAAGTACAAAGCCGATATTATTGCCTTAAAGGAAATGCGACGGAAAGAACTGGTGTAAATAAATCAGATGATTACGCTCTGTATTATAGCTGCCATGAAACGAGACGTGAATTTGGCTGCGGATTTATGGTTAACAGGAAAATAAAGGACCTCGTCTCCAGAGCGAATTCCTATAATCCGCATAAAAGCGAAGTTCTAACATCAGTTTTATTAAAGTCCATGCTCCGACGGAAGACAAAGCTAAGCAGACCAAAGACATATTTTACGAATCTAGAAACAGCATATGACCGCTGCCTTGGTCATGACATTAAAATTCTGCTAGGAGAGCGAAAATATTTTTGGCCCCACCGTCAGAAAATTCAACTTCCATGAAGAGGCGTCCGACAACGACATGAGGTTGATTGACTTCCCGACAGCAAAAAACATGGTAGTTAGCAGCACCAGATTCAAGTATCTCGATATAGACAAGGCCACGTGGATTTCTTCCGAAAAATCATTGATAATTCTGTGTGTATCGATTAGGTCTTAACGTAGCAGCAAATTTGCGGTCTACCAATTGCTCGTCGAAAGCACTCCTAGTCCCGATAATAATATAAAATCACAGAAGGTGCGGGACCATCCTCCTGTAGAGATGGAGATGGAGACCTGGTGACAGCTACAGATAGCATGTCTGGAAGGAGCATTTTGTAAACTTCTGGTATCAAATTGTTACGGTGAAGAAGATACCAAAGAACCAATAAGAGATGACGGCATAGATTGTATACCACCTAGACAAGATGAGATCAGAATATCAATTAATCGCAATAGCAATTATATTAAAACAGCATGTAGTTCGGGAGTCAGACGCTGATCAGGAGCATACACCAACTGATTAGTACAATTTGGCTTGCCCAATTATTGGAACCTTAGCATAATGTGCCCCGTGCACAAAAAGAGCAGACAAGATGATATGTACCAACTATAGAGGGATTAGTCTCCTTCCAATCGCATACAAAGTCCTATAAAGCTATTACTGCGTTCGGCATTCCTGCAAAATTAATACGTCTATGCAGGATATCTTTAACTGGCACAAGGTCAGCAGGTTAAGACGATTCAGACAAGGTATATATAAAAATGCGATACAAATAATTGATTTCGGGTGGCTTAGTATGCTGGTAATTATCGGTAGCGGCTACGACGATTTAACGGTGATCGGTTATCGGTGATGGTTATCTGGTGTCAGTACAATGTTAGTAGTTGCTTACTGACTAAGTTCTCGTACAAACTACTATATCTAACTACGAACAGTAAGCCGAAGTCTCTATGGTGAATAGTACACCGAAAACTCTGTGTGGAACAGTAAGCCGAAGCCTCTGTGTGGAACAGTAAGCCGAAGACTCTGTGTAGAACAGTAGACCGAAGTGAACTAGCCACCACAATGGGTAGCCAACAAAAAGAATTGCGAATGATCGTAATAGCAAGCCTATGCAATGACAAACCGCCCTCAGTAGATAAAAGTGAAATACTTCTGTTTGCGAAGTCACAACGTGAATGGGAATTATATGATAGAGTAGCTGACGCGAGCAAATGCCTATGCACTCGTTGCTAGTACTCATGGGGACGTCATGCAAAGTCGTTGCTATGATGGGTGACGTTTTGAATGTATGTGGCTTTTGGCACGTTACAGTGTCAATCGGCCATATTTTAGAGCTTTGGTGCACCATTTACTGAAAATCGGACGAAACTATATATGGGAGCTATATCTGACTCTGAACCGATTTTTCCCAATTTCAATAGGGTTTTCATCCAATTCGGATCATAACATGACATGTCTTAGAAATTTCTTCTAATCGATATATAGGATCAAAATAATTATTTTGAGAAGTTCCAAATGAAATCAAAATTCACAAAATTTTTGCGGCTATCATACGTCCTTCTATATTACTGAGAAGTACTCGGTAATTCCTCAAGTTTGTTTCTTAAGTCTTTTGTTTTGACACCTAACTCATTGTAATCTTATTTAGGTTATTCCACACCCTCAACATTAAGGTTCAAATTGTCAAATATTTTGAACTCTTCATATGTTTGTTTGGCAAAACTCTTTCCACCAGGGAACACTTTTTGCTCTCATGATGTTGGTTTGCCATTATTTAGTTCGCTCTCCTCATATAACATTGGGGTTTTCAAAGCTTGCAAAGTATAAACAACTCTCAATGAGAGCTTAAAGACAACTGTTCCTACTACTTTGCATTGAGAGTGACAGCATACCCGAGAGAGAGAGGGAGCGTCAGACCCCAACCAAATTATGGTAATACAAAAGACCTGTTATCATCATCACCAACCACCAGCACCACTACCACTCGCCATTGGACGGACATGTTATGTTATATTTTGAACTCTACATACCCAACATACATTTTGCTTGTTGCTATTGTTAGTGTTGTTGTTTTTGTTCTTATTGTTGTGGTAGGCTGGTGTGTTGTTGCTGCTGCTGCGAATATTTGAGGTTGTGTTGTCTTGGTCTTGGTTCTTATATTGGTGGCGTTGGTGCGGCTACTTCTCCTAGACTCTTGTGACGAAGACTCTGTTGACGGTGAGATGGCAATGTTTTTGGGAATGACTGTTACTGCTGCGGCTATCGGAAGGGGGAGCGGGTGTGTGTTGGTAATGTTTTTTTCACTTGTTGCATGCAACATTCGTTTTTCATTTTCTTGTTCTTAGGAAAAATAAGAAAAACAGAATCAACGAAAACAATAGCAACAGCAACTACAAAAACAACAACACAAACAACTGGAGAACATCTTGTATGTTGTATTGTTGATGTTTTCTCTCAAACAATAACAAGCCAGTCTACAACTATTACGGGGTCCCAAAACTACATGCAACATGGGACACATTCTCTTTAGAAATAGAAAAAAACAACTTCCAAAACAATTTTAGAATGGGATTTTTTGGTAAGGAAAATGCGCAAATCGAATTTAGAAAAAACAATTGATTTGATTTTCAGAATTCTTTCGCTTTTCAAATGAATGTTTTGGATTGGGCATTCAACAGGTTTGAGGTTGCTGCTCCATATATTCTAATCAATTTAAGTTATTTGTTTCATTTTTCTTTTTCTCCTGCCACTCACATCCTTTGACCCCCTTCTAATCTCCTGCCTACCCTCATTTGTGGCCCTTTGCCAATTTATTTTTATTTATATTTCACATTTAGATTCATTAATTCCCTTTTTACTATTATTTGCTGTTTAGTCATAGTAATAAATAGCTGAAATTGTTATTGATTTGCAGAAAAGCCATGCCAAAACAAAACGATGACAACAAATGCCGATCGATCGGCGGACCGTCGACCGGACTAAGCCAAAGCAAAGCCACCAAATAATAATGACAACAAAAAACGGCAAAATAGCAAAACAAAACTATTACAAAAACAATGCGAGAGATAGAGAGGAGTAACAAACAGACACAAAATACACACACATAATTTATTACTCCCCAGAGAATGTTTATGTTACGATCGTCAAGTTGAAAAGATGCTGCTGCAGAACAGGCCTAACCGTGGACTGATGGTTTGAGCAAGAGATCAGAGTTATGCTCAATGTTAGCTATGTGAAACAAGATAATATATAAGGTCGGCCAAGGGATAACCTACTCTCCTTTCAAAAATATTCTTTAAAAAATCCAGGCCTTGGATGGTCCTTGAAAAAATATTCTTTAAAAAATCCTGGCCTTGGATGGTCCTTGAAAAAATATTCTTTAAAAAATCCTGGCCTTGTGTAGATCTTAAAAAAATATTCTTTAAAAAATCCACGCCTTGTGTAGATGTTGAAAAATATTCTTTAAAAAATCCACGCCTTGTGTAGATGTTGAAAAATATTCTTTAAAAAATCCACGCCTTGTGTAGATGTTGAAAAATATTCTTTAAAAAATCCACGCCTTGTGTAGATGTTGAAAAATATTCTTTAAAAAATCCACGCCTTGTGTAGATGTTGAAAAATATTCTTTAAAAAATCCACGCCTTGTGTAGATGTTGAAAAATATTCTTTAAAAAATCCACGCCTTGTGTAGATGTTGAAAAATATTCTTTAAAAAATCCACGCCTTGTGTAGATGTTGAAAAATATTCTTTAAAAAATCCACGCCTTGTGTAGATGTTGAAAAATATTCTTTAAAAAATCCACGCCTTGTGTAGATGTTGAAAAATATTCTTTAAAAAATCCACGCCTTGTGTAGATGTTGAAAAATATTCTTTAAAAAATCCACGCCTTGTGTAGATGTTGAAAAATATTCTTTAAAAAATCCACGCCTTGTGTAGATGTTGAAAAATATTCTTTAAAAAATCCACGCCTTGTGTAGATGTTGAAAAATATTCTTTAAAAAATCCACGCCTTGTGTAGATGTTGAAAAATATTCTTTAAAAAATCCACGCCTTGTGTAGATGTTGAAAAATATTCTTTAAAAAATCCACGCCTTGTGTAGATGTTGAAAAATATTCTTTAAAAAATCCACGCCTTGTGTAGATGTTGAAAAATATTCTTTAAAAAATCCACGCCTTGTGTAGATGTTGAAAAATATTCTTTAAAAAATCCACGCCTTGTGTAGATGTTGAAAAATATTCTTTAAAAAATCCACGCCTTGTGTAGATGTTGAAAAATATTCTTTAAAAAATCCACGCCTTGTGTAGATGTTGAAAAATATTCTTTAAAAAATCCACGCCTTGTGTAGATGTTGAAAAATATTCTTTAAAAAATCCACGCCTTGTGTAGATGTTGAAAAATATTCTTTAAAAAATCCACGCCTTTAAAAAATCCACGCCTTGTGTAGATGTTGAAAAATATTCTTTAAAAAATCCACGCCTTGTGTAGATGTTGAAAAATATTCTTTAAAAAATCCACGCCTTGTGTAGATGTTGAAAAATATTCTTTAAAAAATCCACGCCTTGTGTAGATGTTGAAAAATATTCTTTAAAAAATCTGTTTAAAAAATCACGCCTTGTGTAGATGTTGAAAAATATTCTTTAAAAAATCCACGCCTTGTGTAGATGTTGAAAAATATTCTTTAAAAAATCCACGCCTTGTGTAGATGTTGAAAAATATTCTTTAAAAAATCCACGCCTTGTGTAGATGTTGAAAAATATTCTTTAAAAAATCCACGCCTTGTGTAGATGTTGAAAAATATTCTTTAAAAAATCCACGCCTTGTGTAGATGTTGAAAAATATTCTTTAAAAAATCCACGCCTTGTGTAGATGTTGAAAAATATTCTTTAAAAAATCCACGCCTTGTGTAGATGTTGAAAAATATTCTTTAAAAAATCCACGCCTTGTGTAGATGTTGAAAAATATTCTTTAAAAAATCCACGCCTTGTGTAGATGTTGAAAAATATTCTTTAAAAAATCCACGCCTTGTGTAGATGTTGAAAAATATTCTTTAAAAAATCCACGCCTTGTGTAGATGTTGAAAAATATTCTTTAAAAAATCCACGCCTTGTGTAGATGTTGAAAAATATTCTTTAAAAAATCCACGCCTTGTGTAGATGTTGAAAAATATTCTTTAAAAAATCCACGCCTTGTGTAGATGTTGAAAAATATTCTTTAAAAAATCCACGCCTTGTGTAGATGTTGAAAAATATTCTTTAAAAAATCCACGCCTTGTGTAGATGTTGAAAAATATTCTTTAAAAAATCCACGCCTTGTGTAGATGTTGAAAAATATTCTTTAAAAAATCCACGCCTTGTGTAGATGTTGAAAAATATTCTTTAAAAAATCCACGCCTTGTGTAGATGTTGAAAAATATTCTTTAAAAAATCCACGCCTTGTGTAGATGTTGAAAAATATTCTTTAAAAAATCCACGCCTTGTGTAGATGTTGAAAAATATTCTTTAAAAAATCCACGCCTTGTGTAGATGTTGAAAAATATTCTTTAAAAAATCCACGCCTTGTGTAGATGTTGAAAAATATTCTTTAAAAAATCCACGCCTTGTGTAGATGTTGAAAAATATTCTTTAAAAAATCCACGCCTTGTGTAGATGTTGAAAAATATTCTTTAAAAAATCCACGCCTTGTGTAGATGTTGAAAAATATTCTTTAAAAAATCCACGCCTTGTGTAGATGTTGAAAAAAATTATTTAAAAAATCCACGCCTTGTGTAGATGTTGAAAAAAAATTATTTAAAAAATCCACGCCTTGTGTAGATGTTGAAAAAAATTATTTAAAAAATCCACGCCTTGTGTAGATGTTGAAAAATATTCTTTAAAAAATCCACGCCTTGTGTAGATGTTGAAAAATATTCTTTAAAAAATCCACGCCTTGTGTAGATGTTGAAAAATATTCTTTAAAAAATCCACGCCTTGTGTAGATGTTGAAAAATATTCTTTAAAAAATCCACGCCTTGTGTAGATGTTGAAAAATATTCTTTAAAAAATCCACGCCTTGTGTAGATGTTGAAAAATATTCTTTAAAAAATCCACGCCTTGTGTAGATGTTGAAAAATATTCTTTAAAAAATCCACGCCTTGTGTAGATGTTGAAAAATATTCTTTAAAAAATCCACGCCTTGTGTAGATGTTGAAAAATATTCTTTAAAAAATCCACGCCTTGTGTAGATGTTGAAAAATATTCTTTAAAAAATCCACTCCTTGTGTAGATGTTGAAAAATATTCTTTAAAAAATCCACGCCTTGTGTAGATGTTGAAAAATATTCTTTAAAAAATCCACGCCTTGTGTAGATGTTGAAAAATATTCTTTAAAAAATCCACGCCTTGTGTAGATGTTGAAAAATATTCTTTAAAAAATCCACGCCTTGTGTTAGGCCTTCTAAAAATATTCTTTAATAAATCCAAGCCTTGTTCAGGCCTTGGACCTGTAGGGTATTTAGCCATGTCAAATAGTTGCGTATTTGACTTCTGCTGCACTCCCTGACCGGCCTGCAAGAAATGCTCAAAGTGTGTTGAACACGTTAATTTAGATGGAACAACCATAACACCAACATCGTCACCACCAGTACCGCCAATGCCACCACCACTACCATCACCGGCACCACTTAGCCAACAAAACCAATCTAAACATTTTTAAATGTTTTTCTATGATCTCTTTTTTTCTTCTTCTTCTTCAGCTCTCAAGATACCAGCTAGGGGACCGAGAGAGCGCGAGCATGGTTTTAAATGACAACAAGCCAACCCAAACGAAAAAAAAACGTCCAAATGAAATGAAACAATTTAATAACAAAATCTCAGAAAGCGAACCGGGCCTAGAGTGGTGGTGACGATGACGATGCGGAAGACTGCTCATCTTCACGTAGCTCATTCAAAACGGCAAGGAGATAGATCTACACTCCTTGTTTTTGTCGTCAAATCACATCGTTGAGGGGAGAAGTCGCCTTGAAGAGCGGCCATATACAGTGACATAAAATAAAAATAAAATCAAAACAATAAAAACAACACCATTACTAAACAACAGCAATAATAATAATAATAAGAACAACAACAATGACAACAAAAACAACAGCTTCCAATAACTAGCTAAAAAAAGAATAACGAACAATAATATGTAGTAGTAGTAGGCAAAACAAAACTTAAGGAATTCTTTTGTAAAGAACAAAAAAACAACAACGGTGAAGAAGAAGCAAAGCAACAAACAGACAAAAAAATACACCGCAGCCACCACCATTACCAGGCTAAAAGACTTATGCATTCGGGATGGCTAACAACAACAACAGCAATAACAAAACTGGTTTCAAATTAATATGATCACCAGAAACCACCACCACGATCATCAGGCATTGTTGGGCTATGATGATGATGATCATCATCATCATCTTGAGGATTTACCCTACAAAGGGTCGAGTTCGGGTCTTAAGTCTTTTGATTTTAAATGATATTTTGAAAAAACATTTTTTCATAAGGCGTGGATTTTTTAAAGATTAGTTTTCCAAGGTCAATATAAGGCGTGGATTTTTTAAAGATTACTTTTTTAAGGCCTATATAAGGCGTGGATTTTTTAAAGATTAGTTTTTCAAGGCCTATATAAGGCGTGGATTTTTTAAAGATTACCTTTTTAAGGCCTATATAAGGCGTGGATTTTTTAAAGATTAGTTTTTCAAGGCCTATATAAGGCGTGGATTTTTTAAAGGTTAGTTTTTCAAGGCCTATATATGGCGTGGATTTTTTAAAGATTAGTTTTTCAAGGCCTATATAAGGCGTGGATTTTTTAAAGATTAGTTTTTCAAGGCCTATATAAGGCGTGGATTTTTTAAAGATTAGTTTTTCAAGGCCTATATAAGGCGTGGATTTTTTAAAGATTAGTTTTTCAAGGCCTATATAAGGCGTGGATTTTTTAAAGATTAGTTTTTCAAGGCCTATATAAGGCGTGGACTTTTTAAAGATTGGTTTTCCAAGGCCTATATAAGGCATGTATTTTTTAAAGAATATTTAGGAAGTAGTGTGATTTCTATTCTACCCATACCTCCATAGTTTTCACCTTCTCTCCTCTCTTCCACGATGTTTATTTTGTTACTGGCACAAAATCAAAAAAAGATCTTCAACGAGTTGAATATTTTGTATGATTGTTGTTATTGCAGATGTAGTTGTTGTTATTCTTTCCTTAATGATGTTGTTGTTTTTCCACTCGTTGGCTGTTGCTCCTTCATAGAGACTTTTCTTATTTTAAAAGAAGAATTCCAAATAAACAACAAAAACAATATCACAATACTCTCCCTCTCTCTTTTCATTTAACTATTTCTCTCACGTGGGCTACATGAACTGTGCGGAAGATGCTCCACTCTATCGGAGATAGAGAGAACACCAGAAAAAAACTAAATTATTGTCCACACAACTGAAATAAAACATCCAATGATTTATTTTCACTCTCCACAACAACTCTCTTTGGACTCTCCCGACACTCTGTTCATTTAATCGCACGCAATTTAAAAGAAAATAAAAACGACAACAAATCGTAATAATTGTTATTTGGGAATTGGGGAACCAAAAGGTATGGTATGGTATGGAATGGTATAGACAATTGCGGTGGGTATGATCAAACGTATGGAGCAATTGGAAAATGTACTATTTTTCTTTTAACACTGAAATGGATCTTGGTGGAGATTTTTTAAAGAATATTTTAGGGTCTAAATTTAAAAACAAAAATAATATTTTCAATAATATTTTTTGAGACCTAAACAAGGCGTGGATTTTTTAAAAAAAAAATATTTTTTGAGACCTAAACAAGGCGTGGATTTTTAAAAAAATATTTTTTGAGGCCTAAACAAGGCGTGGATTTTTAAAAAAATATTTTTTGAGACCTAAACAAGGCGTGGATTTAAAAAAAAAAAAATATTTTTTGAGACCTAAACAAGGCGTGGATTTTTAAAAAAAAAAATATATTTTTTGAGACCTAAACAAGGCGTGGATTTTTAAAAAAAATATTTTTTGAGACCTAAACAAGGCGTGGATTTTTAAAAAAATATTTTTTGAGACCTAAACAAGGCGTGGATTTTTAAAAAAATATTTTTTGAGACCTAAACAAGGCGTGGATTTTAAAAAAAAAAATATTTTTTGAGACCTAAACAAGGCGTGGATTTTTAAAAAAAAATATTTTTTGAGACCTAAACAAGGCGTGGATTTTTAAAAAAAATATTTTTTGAGACCTAAACAAGGCGTGGATTTAAAAAAAAAATATTTTTGAGACCTAAACAAGGCGTGGATTTTTAAAAAAAATATTTTTGGAGATCTAAACAAGGCGTGGATTTTTAAAAAAAAAATATTTTTGGAGATCTAAACAAGGCGTGGATTTTTAAAAAAAAATTTTTCAAGGGTTTAAACAAGGCGTGGATTTTAAAAAAAAAAATTTTTTGAAGAGACTAAACAAGGCGTGGATTTTTAAAAAAAAAATATTTTTTGAGACCTAAACAAGGCGTGGATTTTAAAAAAAAAAATATTTTTTGAGACCTAAACAAGGCGTGGATTTTAAAAAAAAATATTTTTTGAGACCTAAACAAGACGTGGATTTAAAAAAAAAAAATATTTTTTGTAAAAAAATGGGGTGAGTCGTCGGGTTAGTTGCCCACTCTCGGAAACCACAACCTACTATGAAAAAGCAACGAAAAAGAAAACCAAACCCACCTAATGTTGACGACCCCCGCAAACGTATAAATGACCACGATCTGCGAATCTGCACTTGGAATGTGCGCACGTTTCACTTTGGCGGATGTACTCAAGAAGTACAAAGCCGATATTATTGCCTTACAGGAAATGCGATGGAATGGGACTGGCGTAAGTAAATCAGATGATTACGCACTGTATTATAGCTGCCATGAAACGAGACGTGAATTTGGCTGCGGATTTATGGTTAACAGGAGAATAAAAGACCTCGTCTCCAGATTCACTCCACTAGATGAGCGAATTGGTATAATCCGTATAAAAGCGAAGTTCTTCTACATCAGTATCATTTGCGCCAATGCTCCAACCGAAGATAAAGATGAACAGACCAATGACATTTTTTACGAACGTCTAGAAACAGCATATGATCGTTGCCCTGGTCATGACATTAAAATTCTGCTAGGAGATTTTAACGATGGCTAGGCCATGTTGAGATAATGGATGAAAATGCCCCAGCTCAAAAGGCATATAGAAGCGAGCATACGGGAACCATCCCGTAGAAGGGGAAGGCCAAGAATCAGATGGAAATACCAAGTAGAAAACAACATCTTGCAACGTGATCTTTCAAATTGGAGGAGATGCGCACAAGACCGACGCGCTTGCAAATCTTTTTTAAGCTCGGCTTATGGAACAACCGTTCTGTAACAAGTCAGGTAAGGAAGGAAACAAGGCGTGGATATTTTAAAAAATATTTGTTGAGACCTAAACAAGGCGTAGATTTTTCAAAAATATTTTTTGAAACCTAAACAAGGTGTACATTTCCAAGGCGTAGATTTTTCAAAAATATTTTTTAGGACCTTTCCAAGGCGTAGATTTTTCAAAAATATTTTTTAGGACCTTTCCAAGGCGTAGATTTTTCAAAAATATTTTTTAGGACCTTTCCAAGGCGTAGATTTTTCAAAAATATTTTTTTGAGACCTAAACAAGGCGTAGATTTTTCAAAAATATTTTTTTGAGACCTAAACAAGGCGTAGATTTTTCAAAAATATTTTTTTTTTTTTTGAGACCTAAACAAGGCGTAGATTTTTCAAAAATATTTGTTGAGACCTAAACAAGGCGTAGATTTTTCAAAAATATTTTTTGAAACCTAAACAAGGTGTACATTTTTTAAAAATATTTTTTGAGACCTAAACAAGGCGTAGATTTTTCAAAAATATTTTTTTGAGACCTAAACAAGGCGTAGATTTTTCAAAAATATTTTTGAGACCTAAACAAGGCGTAGATTTTTCAAAAATATTTTTTAGGACCTTTCCAAGGCGTAGATTTTTCAAAAATATTTTTTGAGACCTAAACAAGGCGTAGATTTTTAAAAACTATTTTTTGAGACCTAAACAAGGCGTAGATTTTTAAAAACTATTTTTTGAGACCTAAACAAGGCGTAGATTTTTAAAAACTATTTTTTGAGACCTAAACAAAGCGTGGATTTTTTAAAAAATATTTTTGAGGCCTAAACAAGTCGTAGATTTTTAAAAAATATTTTTTGAGACCTAAACAAAGCGTGGATTTTAAAAACTATTTTTTGAGACCTAAACTAGGCGTAGATATTTAAAAACTATTTTTTGAGACCTAAACTAGGCGTAGATTTTTAAAAACTATTTTTTGAGACCTAAACTAGGCGTAGATTTTTAAAAACTATTTTTTGAGACCTAAACAAGGCGCAGATTTTTAAAAACTATTGTTTGAGACCTAAACAAGGCGCAGATTTTTAAAAACTATTTTTTGAGACCTAAACAAAGCGCAGATTTTTCAAAAATTGAAATTGGGAAAAATCGGTCCAAATTTAGATATAGCTCCCATATATATTTTCGTCCGATTTAAGGTAAATGGTGTACCAATGTCCCTATATATCGTTTGATTTGCACGAAATTTGGCATAGCGTAATGAATTATGTCTAGGATGATGTGTGTTAAGTTTCCTAGATATCGGTTCAGCGTTAGATATAGCTCCCATATATGTTCGTCCGATTTATATGTTCGTCCGATTTAAAGTAAATGGTGCGTCAAAGTCCCTAAATATCTTTCGATCTGCATGAAATTTGGCACAGCGTAATTAATTAGGTCTAGAATGATGTGCGTTAAGTTTCCTGAAAATCGGTTCAGATTTAGATATAGCTCCCCTATATATTTTTGTCCGATTTAATGTAATTTGCACGAAATTTGGCATAGCGTACTGAATTAAGTCTACAACGATGTGTGTAAAATTTCTTGAAAATCGGTCCAGATTTAGATATAGCTCCCATATATATTTTCGTCCGATTTAAGGTGAATGGTGCACCAAAGTACCTATATATGTTTCGATTTGCACGAACTTTGGCATAGCGTAATGAATTATGTCTAGAATGATGTGTGTTAAGTTTCCTGAATATCGGTCCAGATTTAGCTATAGCTCCCATATATATATTCGACCGATTTAATGTAAATGGTGTACCAATGCCCCTATATATCGTTCGATTTGCACGAAATTTGGCATAGCGTAATGAATTATGTCT